TGCCTCTCCCAAAAGGCTTTGGCAGCCAACTTCATCAGTGGCCTGAGTGTCCTCATTGGAACTGCTATCATTCTTTCTGCACAGGTTGAGGATAGTGTGATTGGCCTCATCTTGGCCTTTGGCGGAGGAGTGTACTTGCACATTGGGGCGACCGATTGTCTGCCCAAGATGTATGACCCCAAGTTGACTTTCACGCAGCGCTTGGCAGCCTTTGGAGCTTTCGCGCTTGGAGCTGTTGTGATTGGATTGATTTTGATCGGCCACGAGCACTGCGTTCCCGAAGGGAGCGGTGGTCATGCTCACGGACACCATCACTAATTTTCCGAACAAGGAAGAGTTGTATAGGAGTCACGCCGGACCACGATCTTCCGAGGACAAACCCTGTCCATTCAATTTTGGCTGTGCAGGCCATGAGAATTTACTTCTCAGTTAGTGCTTAACAGGTGCCAACAGAGTTGGCCTTAGAGGGGTGCAATTTCCAGGGGTGGTTGACATATATTATATTGCATCAGAACCAACTTGGATCATGCAGGCTTTGTCATTGTCCATTGCCACAGATGCATTCTGTTTCTTTTCGGTGTTTCTTCATCTATGCGAGCCACCCCAGTCCTCTTCACAGGTGCAGACTGCCAAAAAGGTTGCAACGTCTGTTTCCCTATTCCCTGTGAGGAGGCAACACGGCTCAATCACTTGCTGTGTTCAGGGAGGAAAAGATCCACGTGTTCTATCCATTTTCGAGGAAACGTGTGTCGTGGTTCTTTCTATGCGTGGTCATGACCGGTCTTGTTTGGTCCCAGGTGCTTGGTCGTGAGATCTCTCTTTTCGCCGCGACGGAGCGACGTGAGGAGCGACGGGAGCAGCTGAGCAGTGGAGCAGTGGAGACAGGTTGGAGCAGCTGAGCCGCCTCTCGCTTGCTTTATATATTTTGGTGTGTATACACCTTCCAGTCACCGGTTGCCCTATGGCCTTCTTTGCAGAGTGCTGGGCACCCCGATTTTTTTGCTCGGCATGGACCAGGTTCAAGTCATTGTGATGAAGTTCTTTTTCAAAGCTTTTGTTTGGCACTTCCCGTGGGGATCCTGACTAGCTATGCCGAGGCGACCTGCTTGGGAATCCAGTCGCCCATCTGTGTTTCACCTTGCCTGGAAGGCCGATGAAGGGAAATAGCCGATCTGAGAGCTCATTGGGGGAATTTAAGCAAAAGATTTGAACACTTCCATGTGCATAGCAAGACATGTGGCAGGCCTGAGCTCTTGGCTAGAGGGGTGATTGATGAGTGGCGAGACGCAAGATTTGCTTTAGTGTAGCTTTAGACAGCGTGCTGATTTGTAGTAGCGTCCGGGAAGGCATTCTTAAAATTCAGAGGGTTAGTTAAGTGACACTGGGGATTACATGCCAACATGCAGTCATTTCCCGTCTGTCATGCTGAAATCTATATCAACACGACATGACGGGATCCTGGAATCTTCGACACAAATCGCCCACCCTCTCAGCGAACACTCCGAACACTCCGGAATCGAAGGCTTCCTTTTGGCGTCCCCACTGAGCTGATCATGCTGTTCAGCCATGCACACAGCATGTTTCCAGGCGGAAACGGGTCTGGGAGCTTCAATGGCTGTTGTACTTCATTTGTACCTTGATATTCGATGAATTCTGGATGTGACGGGCCCTCTTGAATCGAGTTTTCGCAGCACAACGAAGCAGCGAGCCAGATCTGTAGACTACCGATCGATCGCCACGAGTTCGGTGGATCAACAGCCCTTCCGCGAAGTCCCCTTCCACTCTCCTGAGTTCCACCGGAGTTCCTCCACTCTCCGGTGGAGAGTTTCGTGGCCCACTGAGGCCCACTGTTTGATCGGCCACTCTTCGGCCACTGGACGTTTCCAACTCTCTCATCCACTCGAAGACAGTTACAGCCACTCTCCTCTCATACAGCCAACTCAACTCTCTCTCATCCTGTTTCCAACAGCCTTTCTCTTTCATCCCACTTTCACGCCCCGGCCACAGCCACGCCGTCAGCCCGATGCGATCGCCGAAACGGGCGAGCCGAGGTAAGCCGGAGGCACCGGGAGGCGAAACGGGCCGTTTCGCGGGCCGTGGAGGGTGGAGGTGTCTGTGTCAGGCACACCAATGCCAGGGGGGACTATTCGGAAAAGGAGTTGGGAAAGAGTGAGTGACTACAGAACTAGTGAACTAGAGTTGGGTAGTGTAGGGAGTTGAAACAAGGAGGCTGACGGCGGAGATTGAGGGTCACTTTGGATGAGGAAGTGGGAGAACACATGGAGTGGGTATGATGTATCTACAAAAGTCACTAGTCTGTCACACAGCACAGTCATTGTTGTCAAAAATTCCTCGGAGTGGTTGACCAAGTAGCGCTTTGTTTTCGCGCATTTGCGGCAAACAGACTTAGAGCAGCTACGATGATTGTCTTGATCTGACGCCACAGAGCGGCTGTAAGATTCCGGCGAAGGCCCGGCTTCGGAGATCCCGGCAGCGCGAAAGGTTCCTGCGATGGTCGCAATGAACATTGAAAGGCGCACTGATTGGGCTGCCTTTTTTTTTGGGGAGTCACTGGGAACTGCGCCCATGGAAAAGTGATATAACTTTTCCACAGATGTTAATGGGGTGATTCCACAGATGATCTATGGTATAGTAGTTGGTATAGTATACTGGTCCGCGATGTTTTTCCAAGTATCAGGGGGTGATTCCCTCTAATTCTCCTAGTAGAGCGCAGAGAGAGAGAGAGAGAGAGTCTGTGTGAATCTCTTCGACGTTCGCAGCGATCGAAGGCTCCGTATATGGTTGTTTGATCTGAATTTTGGTTGGGAATGAGGGGTGTTCAGGTGTTCACCTTCGAAGGTTGAAGGTTTGGAAGGCAAGCATCAATCAGCTCTCAACATCGATGCAGAGGAAGCTGAGCTGAAGCTGTAGCAGTGGCTCTTTGCTGCCAAAGAAGCAGAGAAAGCAGACGTGCCGATGGAAAGAGTGAGAGTACGTTCTTTTTTTCTTGCAGACCAATCCAGGTAACAGGTAAAGTTGGGGTCAATGAATTTTTGGATATCGATTTGGAGACTGGCATGACTCTTGGACACGTTCTTGTGCTTTTCTTCGGATTCCTGCCGTGCGTTTCTGTCTGAAGAGTGCGTTTCGCTTTTGACCCACCTGGTTTCTTATGCAGAAGGCTCCGTGGATTCTCATGTGCTGAGTTTGTCAGTCTCTAGACGTTTCTCGGTTCGCAGTCCGAGTTGGAGTAGACTAAGGCCTGCAAAACGCAGGGGTAGGAGCAAGGATGCTACGTTCGGGGCTCCTGGCATCGCTACTAGGAACCAGGACGCTACGTTCGGGGCTCCTGGCCTTACTACTAGTAACAAGAAGCTATTAGACACAAGCGGTTGTTTCTTGGATGCGGTGGTGTCCTTGAAAATTCCCGGGTCGACTGACGGAGCGTATTTGGAACACAGATCACAGATGCTGCTGGTTTGTGTTTGTATCCAAACAGACCTGAATGGAGCGAGCTCTTGGAGAGTTGGAGAAGTGTCATTCCTTCGAAGTATGGTAAACTACTGGTAAGTGTTTAGGCTTGAAATAATCAACCCATTATATTTTGACCTTTGAGCACAGTTTCTTCTTCTTCGCTTGTGAAAGAAGGACCTGATTGGCAGAATTGCGGAGGTAAGAAGTATATGCATCAATGATGCTTCCTATTGCTCTTCTCACACTTGACAAAGATCTTGTTCTAGACGAGTTCTTATAAGCCGGTGCTGCCAGGCAGGGCAGGAGCACACTACAACTTATACAAGTACTTATTGCATCTTTTTGCCTCGTGTGCAGAATTGTATCAATAACTGCGCCAGATGAGTCTTCAAATGAGGCAGGCTTCCAAACCTCACTGTTCAACTTTGCCCGGGGCTTTCAACTGACTTGAGCCATGCTGCAGCTACTTTATTTCAAGAAGTAGCGTTTTATTCGTCGAAGCTATGCCACGCGTCTGGCGATCTCGAGGTTACCAGCCTCCCAGCACCAGCGGTGCAGTTTCTGCGCAGCAGCCAGATGGCGTGGCCCAATTCTTCCAAGCCTTAGGCACTCGAAATCTTCAAACCAAGACTGCCAGGCCTCCACCCCGGACCCCCTCTCGGTCGAAAGATGTAGCCACGGGACTTCGGGAGGGCAAGTTGACCTTCTACGGAGGAGTGCGGAGCAAAGTTCCTTCCTTCTATCCCGTGGTGCACCGGTCCCCGCGGTATGAGACCTCCACTCTCTCTCACAAGTCGAACGAGCATGAGCAGCACGAGCGCGACGGCTCGGAGCAGCACGACGGCTCGGGGCTCGGACGGACTGCGGGAGATGGGCGGTCGTTCTATATGCGGTCCAAGTTGCTTCAAGCTTCCGCGCCTTCGACGCCTTCCACGTTGACTTTCAAGAGGATGAGCTCAGCAAGCTCTCCAGTGGAGCAGCTTTCAAGCAGCGCTGTTTCTGCTGCAAGCCCCGCTCGCAGTGTTTCGGGGACCAGCTCGCAGCCGGAGGCTGATGAGGTGGATAGGGTGATCGAAGGCGAAGAGGAGCTCTTGCAGACAGCAGCTCTTGACAGCGATCAGTCCGTGCCTTGTTCCTCGATCGAGAACCAGAATCAGCCGGTCGAGGCGTTAGAGACATCGCAGCAGACGTCGCAGCAGACGTGGTTGCGGCTCAGTGGTGCAAAGCGATGGGCGGACAGTTTGGAGGATCCGGATGAGGAGCAGTTCTGCGGACTTGCGAACTGGTCAGAGTCTCAGAGAGGGTTTCAACAGGGTGTTTCCAAGAGTCGTATGACAGCATGTTTGACAAAGCTATCCTCCTTTTTTTCACCAAAATTTGGGAAGAGGGAGTGCTTTTGCTATAAGTGACTCTTAAAATTAGATCTTATTAAAGGAGACACTGCCACTAAAGAAGAGTTGCCCCATGTACTCGGTAGATAAAAGAAACATGTCGACGCAGAGGCCGCAGAAGAAGCAAGAAGAAGACAAGGCTTGCCCAGTGCTGTTTGCTCTTACTGGAAGTATTGGAAGTTGCATTCTGAGCAACTGATTTGGGTCTTGCCACTGGGTTACTCACTCAACATTCCCTGGTGCAGATGGAGTGGGGACTTTCCAGCTCAAACTTTCCTGCTGTCATGATGACTGGCCACACTCTTCATTCCTTGATTGGACACTAATAACCAGCCAACACACAATGGGAACCAGGTGGTATTTGGACATGTCCTCTTCTTGCGCACTGATGTGGGTTGCAAGATTTTCACTCCAGGTGACCGGCGTCAGCTTTGAGCAGACTCCAGTTTGGAGGCGAGCCACCCTGGGTTGGTTTTGCCGGCGACCAAAATCCCCTCTGCACGGAGTTGGACGCCGCCATGTCCCGGACAATAGCCATCCGTTTCTGTCAATTCATCCCTACAAGTCCAGTCTGACCCAGTAAAACCTGGTCCTTTACCTTCGTTTTCTGGTGCTTTTGTATGACCAACTGAAGAGTAACAGGTCGAAGGACTTGGGCATGGCTTTCCTTCTGGCCATCCCTCTGAGTCTCGACTCGACGGCCTTTTTCGGTCAATCCAGAGACCCCGAGGTGGGGACCTCGCGGGGTGGGAAGTAGACGGACAGAACTGCAACCCCCCCTCGCCATGCGTACATGGGTAGGCGGGTCTCCAACCAGCTTCGGTGATTTAGACAGGCTCCATTGTCCTTCTTCAGGTGGGGGGTCGAACTGGGGGGGTTCTCCAATACCCTTCATACCCACCCACATGTGTAGTCTTTTTTTTAATGCGCTTTTTCATGGTGTGGGGCCAACACTTCGGCCGTGGTTTCCAGCCAGATTTCGGACGGTCAAGTGGGCCCCAACGATAGCGATGTCCGAAACAGCAGCATTCCAAGTACCTGGACTCGACTTCAAGTACCGAAAATGGGACATGACCCCATGAAAACAGGTACGACTGAGTCCCCATTTTCCGAGGTACGAACTGAGACTCCAAGTACTGTTTACTTCATTTATGCCAATCACGATATGGGGGGCAGGAGGGTCTTCACGCATTTAGATGTCTGTCAAGGCAGGAGACCTGGCAGACCCGTTCCAGCTGGCGATCCGAGAGCTGGCAGCAATCCGATAGCTGGCAGTGGTGGGGGAGACAAGGCCAGGCAACGAAGACGCAGAACATCTGCTTTTGAGGAAGATGCAAATCATGCAGTCCTGTGATGTTACATCGAATTGATGTTTTTATTTTTTTTGCAACATCGTGCTTGTCCAAGCGTTTTCAAAAGCTCATTGAACATCCTACTCGCAGCTGATTTGCTATATCCGCTGCGCTTGGTTGCAGGAAAGCGCCCTCGGCGAAAGCCTGAAAAGAAGTGGGAACGAAAAGAGGCGACTGGGACATCTTTTGGCTGCCGAATTCTCACATGACATCTAACTCTCAAGGTGCTGAACATGAGTAGTGCCCTCAACACAGTACATATGTACATCACAATTCTGTGCATAGACCAGTCAGTCATTTGATCAGTGGAACGAAGTACAGTCATACGACATAGAAAGGCTTCATGTTCTTTGTGGTACCACCAGGATCCACCAGGTTCGTGTATCTTTAAAAAGAAACATCAGGTGATCTCAGCCAAAGCTGCCAGGTTCAATCTCTCCGCTTCTGATCGCAGGAGCTTTTGCAGCCAGCGAGGACCACCGTCACGTGTGTCACCCCATTCGATGGTAAGCAGCGCAGCGCAACAGATTCAGTAAAACAAGGGATGTTGAACGGCCAGGCGTTATATCTATATATACACGCATATATGTGGTCACCACCCCCCTTTTGACTCGGCCGGGCCAATATTTGATAGATATACCCATGCTAACAACACTGGAATGGATGCAATGGCAAATAGCATCATCCACAAAAAGGTCGTTAGTCAGACCTTCTATGGTCGATAGATCTGAAGAAGCTGAAGAAGAGTCAGACCTGTGTCACTTGCCGCGCAGCGCTTGCCACACCTGCGAGACCAGACCTGCGGTCTCGACCGTCTCGTCCAAGTATACAAATGACCTGGACCAGAGACCGCGAGGTATTTTGAATCTTATGCCATGGGCAGGATCTTGTTTGAAGTCCACAAACCTGTTGAGCCGGAGGACGATTGGGTGGTTCAAGGCAGACGGACCCAGACGGACCTATTTGGGTATGCACACCTGAGCTCTCTGCGGTACGTGCAAGAGCTTCTTCGTTTCTCCTTTCTAACGGCTTTATACCCAAACATGGTTGTTCCGTGGCCCACCCTGATTAGAGAGACTTTTTCGGTCTCATGTTGAGTCCTTCTCGGCTCCTGTATCTCACCAGAATTGGTGTGCAAGCAGCTTCGAAACGAAGGACACCGAACTCTTGGCAAAAAAAGGTTTGTTGCAATCCAAGCAGAATTTAATCCAAATGTAAGCTGTTTTGGGTCATGAGTCAAAAGACCAGTCAAAAGTCAACCGTTATGAAATCTAGAGAAACGGAACAAACACATTTCAACGAACACTCTAACCCAATTCCGGTTGTTCATGATGTGCAAAAGTTGGGTCGACCGTGCCCAGAGTTCCACTTGCGACAGAGACGCAGCGACAGACCCGCAGTTCATGGGATCCAAAAGCGATGTGCCGGGACGGTGCTGCGACGGTGCTCGCAGCTCGTCGCTCTGACTGGAACCTGTGAAGGGATTGGAAAGCCTGTGACATGCTGGTTTGATTGGTTTGGGAAGAGTGACAGGGGTTGGAAGACATGAGATGCAGCTTTTCAACCAGTACAGCTGGCACAGCTGCAGATGTTTTGGATGAACGGCCTTTGCCTGCCGCTTTTGGTTGGAGAAACTGCTGAAAGGAGCGGTGTTAGTGCTGGGGATGTGAGCGCAGCCGCACTGGCGTCCTGGAGGCACTGGGTAGATGGGTTGAGAAGACAAACATTTGTTGGAGGCAGGATGAGGCAGGTTGCTGGCACCAGTCACTGACTTCTTTCAGTTTCTAAATATTCCAGAAGTGGCCAAAACTGGCAGCTCAGAATTAATCGTGTGAATGACCGCAGTTGCACAGGCGGCCGCGGAAATGGCAGCTGCCTCGCAGCTGACGCGCTTCTCCTAGTGGAGTGCAGGGGGGGGACTGCGAGGGCCTGTGTCCGATCGCCCCTTCTGTTTGGGATGTCAAACCAACGATCTCCAAAACCGGAGGGGATAACAGGAGGCTGGAGTGAATGACAAAAGATCTTTGGGACAACCAATGGGCTGTTTCCCCATGGGCTTGACCCCTAGGGCCCCTAAACCCAGATCCAGGAACGCCCCCCCAAAAGCGCCACCGAACGCTGAAGCCTTTAGTCGTTATTACTTACTAGGACCCTCCGTTTGGGGCTTCGAGCTTGATATAACTCCTATAGTTTTTTTCGAGGTGAAGGAGATCCGGTGTCGCCTTTTCCTTCACCACCCAACTCCAGTGAGTCCTGGTCCGGGGGTTTCTAAGGAAAAACCGTCGTGGCTTCGAACCTCCCCCTGTGACCTCCGCGCCCGCCGTGACCGCCGCACCCTCTGTGCGCGTCGACGGCCGAGGTCCGGAGTGTCGCTGCTGCACAACAATCTCGCAAGCTCTTCCAGTGGGTCTCTTTGACACGCTTTGGAACCTTTTGGCGGTTTGGGGGCGGAGAAGCGGAGAACGAAGCAGGCGGATGCAGGCGGAGAACGAAGCAGTAAGCAGAGTCAATGAGAATCAGAATCCATTTTTGGTGCGAGGAATCATGAGTGTTTGGAATCGGACTGCTTGGGTTTTGAGGATCAATGAGATCGATCCACGATGGGCGAAGAACCGGACGTGGCGAAGAACCCTTCTCATTCGCCCAAGCTGAACACTTCGTGGTTTGCCCATGGTTGACGGCAGGTGCTTTCTTCGGGTTTGCTCGGTCCATGCGGAAGTTGGGCCAAGCATGGCCAAGCACGGCCACGAAGTGAACTTGCTCTTCCAACCGAACCGAACAACTCGACAGAAACGACTTAGACCGGCCATCCGTGTCTTCATCACCTTGAAAGGCCTGGGGGGGTGGCCTCGACCGCCCGTGCGAAATTTGTCTTTGGGTGTGCATGAAATTCTCCGGAAGAAGGGGACCTGTGACATGTCGACCCGTCAGCCCAGCTAGGGCCAGGGTGTCAACACACATTCATGTTCGTTGAACCGTGGAGCCATGAACACTGAGCCAACAACCACGCTCATCAGCGCCACCCGTCGCGGTGTGGTGCAAGAGGGTTTCGCGACGAAGCGAAGTCAAGGCTCGGGAACTCGACTGCCAGGACGATGGCTTCCATTCACAACTCCTTGAATGCAGGCGATGCTGATGTGTGATCTTGAACAACCAGCAATGCTTTTTGAAAAAGTAAAAGAGGTTCTCAATGGATCAACATTGGCAAGAGTGTTGCTTCTTGCCTCCCTGCAAACCAGCAAGCCCAACCAAAATGACCTGTTGATTACATGATTTGTTTCTCTGGGCATGTGGCACTCTTGGACAGTACTGTATCTTGAAGGTGGACCTGGGCAAAACCGATCTTTGGATGATCGGTCGTGGTGCATGGCGACCCGCATGACCGACTCGCCGCCGACCCGACCAGCATCCGGGTCAGAGCCGCGTGGAGCGACCAGGACAAGGGAAACTCCTCTTGCACTCGCTGGCCACCGGCCAAAGCAAGGACCGGTCGAAGCAAGTCTAACGCGTGGTGTGGCTCCAGCGATGGGTGTTTCCTTTGTTCTGCGAGAAGAGGTTCGAAGGAAGAGTTGGCCGTCAATTTTATAAGCATCCATGAATCCCAAAAAGAACATGCTTTCTTTTCGAGCCAAGCGGATTTGTTTCATTCTGCTTCGTTGTGAAACGATGGACGGCGGATTTGTACTGCCTGGTTTGCCGGTGTTTCTATCTCCACCGACGGTCGTGCGTTTCTTTTTGCCAGGATGGTCCAGAGGTGGTGCAGGCGCGGCCAGGAGGACCACCACTTAGGACCACGGACGATGCCAGCGTTGTCTCGTTCCTTCCAGGGCTACACCTCTCAACCGTCCGTCGTTTAGTCAAGAGGTTGTTATTCTATGTTATTCTTGGGTGGGTAGGTGAAGGTTCGCGGTTTGAGCGATCCGCAGAGCGATCCGGAGGCAACCTCCATTCGATATTTGGAGACTCTGCATGGACCAGTGCTGGTGGCTGCTTGACTTCCGACAGCGTTCCGCACTGTTCTTCGTTTTTCATGCGCCGTTTCCTTGTCTTTCTTTTTCTCGAGTCGTTTTTTCGTGCGAAACAGAAGAGGCCAGCGGAAGAGCAAACATCTACGGAGGATTGAGAGGACCAATGGCACTGACGGACACCCATCTGTTCGTGCATTGAACCTCTGAAACCTGCATCTAGGTGCAACAGGTGGCCACTAGATTCACTAGATAGATAGAAAGAAAGATAGATAGATAGATACATAGGTACATGGACAGATAGAAAGAAAGATAGATAGATGAATGGATACCAACGGGTTCTTCATTTTGCAACGATTTACTGCAGTTCACCGAGAAAACTACACTTTGCTGCTGGACTGAGGTTACATCCACCAACGGCACTCAAGTCTATACGGAGGAAACTGGGCGGTTTTTGTTGGAACAAGCTCAAAGCCCAGTTTTGCTCTCCCGTGTTTTGAGAGTGGAGAGCCACTTGAGATTGCAGGATGCTTCCGCACTGATCTTCTATCTCCCAATTGCGGACCAAGCGGCACTCTCAGTGTTGCCTCGCTCGCCTCGCGAACTCGCTCCAACGGGGGGTGACAGCTCTCATTGTGCCCAGTCATCATGGATACCTGGAGACCTCAGAAGGTGACATGAACAATCTTTTCCTCTTCATGACACAACTAGATGCTGGTGGAAACTGATGTTTGCTTGGTGGTTCACGGATGGCTCTGACCGTCCTGCCCTTGGTCTCTCGCGGATCGGAGAGATTCCGATCCCTGTGGTCTTGGCGGTTTGCTGAGAGCCTCTTCATTGTTTTAGATTGCAACCTGGAAACATCCAAGAACCAGAAACACATGATTCCCCCCAAACAACCACTCCTTATTATCTCACTTGCGCTTCTGGAACAACCAATGGTTTTCTTTTTTTCTGGGTTTTCAGCTTTCGGT